CAGCGATGGCCTGGCCCGAATTTGTCTCCACATGCATAACAAAGGCCCTTTTCCCGTCGGGCTTGCATCTCTGCCCAGGTTAACCTCTTGGCTGTGTCGGGGCCTGAGCCAGAGTTGGTGTCCTTGCCTATGATTCCTACTCCTGATCTGGGCTCCGGTTAACCCAAGATACCTGGTTCTGGGTTCGGTATACCTGGTCTAATCGCAGCTCCCAGGGGTCGATTAATCCTTCTTGCCCGATTCAGTTTGTCTTCATGTAGTTGAGCTAATGTTGCTGCTTCAAGAACGGTGGTGGGCTGCATGGCTTTTACCTCCAACCGCAATTCTTCCCTGAGTCCACCAACAAAACTGCCGACAAGCGCGTTTTCTGGCCAGCCTTGCATGCGCACAGCTAATCTTTCGAATGCCATCTGATAATCTTGGACAGAGCCGGTCTGTCGTAGCTTAGCGAGGCTTTCATCATAGTTCTCAAAAGCCGAGACTCCAAATCGCATGGTTAAGGCGTCGGTGAAGTCTGCCCATGTGGCTCTTGGGTGTCGTCGCCAGTATCACTGGTACCAAACGAGCCTCTCCTTCCAGGTATGCGGAAGCTAATGGAACACGATCAGGTCCTTGTGTGTCGTGGTAATCGAAGTATCTTTCTGTTCACAAAAGCTCGGATGTGGGATCTCCCCCTGTGAAGATGTGGAACTCGATTATTGCTGTTCTTGATCCGCTTCGATGACTAGTGTCACTGCGCTCTTCCTGATTCGGCGCAGGTGGTGCCTATGTCAGTCGTTCAAGCAAGGATGCAAAGCTTTCTTTGATTTCTTTGACGTCAGCCGATATTCTTTGCATTTCTTCTTCCATGTTGTCGACTCTGTTCTCCATTGCGGATGGCCTTGTGCTTGGCATCTTGGCTCTGATACCAACTTGTTAGGAACTACCTAACTCAGGGACTTTCAAGAGAGAGAGAGAGAGAGAGAGATGAGAGATTGTATTCCCAAATCGATAATCCCCTCCTAGCTTCCTTTCCTTATTTATATACTGCTGTTACAATTCTGTTATACCCGCCTCTCCACTTGTCCAGTTTGTTAGTTAATTTGTTCTAGTGGTTGGCTGTTAGTTACATTCTTTAAAGGCTGGCGTGGCCTTTTCTTGTACACTTGTATTCCCTTTATTTGTGTCTCAATATTTTGATGCTTAGCAGTTTGGTTAAATCTTTAGGGTCTATTTTATCTGGATGGTCTACTAGAAGTTAATACTACATTTTTTTTTTTTTGAGTTGGCAGAGAAGGTGGATAAGCAGGGGCATCTGTAACTTCTATTACCCATTATCCTTCAGCTTCTATGACTTAAATTTATGATTGGTTGAATTGCTCAGAAAACTGTGGTGGATACTAGTTTGTATTTGATAAAGAAGGGTGGATATTCTATCACAGAAAAAGAAAATGGAATAACTGATGGAGTTACATTACTTGAAATCATTCATACCTGCATGCTTGTTCCTTAGTCCAGAGGCATCCGTAGAGGCAAGACAGTTATTATGTGTGAAATATTATACTATGAACTATTCTTCTTAAAATGACTGTGGTATACTACAAGTCCTGGAATGAAATCTTTTAAAATCCCTATCGAGTGGTTTACTTTTGGGTTGCAAGTGAACTTCTGACAACTCAGTGTGATGGCTTCTGAAAAGAGTTGGCTAAGTTGATATTTTTGGATCAACTTGACCGTCTTCAGTGTATGCTTGCCATTTCACACTTTATTCTCATTTGGGTTTTCTCTGTTTTTGCTTCCCTTGCCAGCAGGCATTTTTGGCAAATGGGATCTACAAACTACTGCAGGGATCATTGTTTTTGATATTGGTTTATGTTGATTTTAGTTGTTTAATGTTCCTATTTCATTGCTATTGGTGGATTTGGATGAGATGTGGTTTCTGATCCAAGACCAAGGGAAATGGTTAAGTATAAGTTGCTCAAGATTCATGATGTTGTCTTGATATTTGGAGATACAAAAGGGCCTAAAATTCTGTAATCATGTAACTAGTCTACATCAATAGATGGATACAGCTTTTTGACCTAGGCAAACTGGATTATTTTTTAATTGGGGATTATGATATGTTATTTTCCATGGTCAATACTGGTCATTATGGTGCACTTTGAATTATGACTTCAGTTAAGTACTTAAGTTTGTTCTTAACATTGGCAAGTTGATTTTGAAGTCGATGACAATATCAGATATATTTTGAGCTTGCTTCAATCTACAGCACCAATAGCTTCTTCTTGTTCTATTAGTCATGACCTGTATGGAGGGAGATGCTATTAATGATGGTAGCTGTTGCTTTCCCAACTTGTTTAGTCATGACTCAGATCTAATGAAATGTTGCTTCCGCAGTCTTTTGATTGGAGCGGCACTTATATTGGATTTCACTGGTCCCCTTTTCAGGATATGGCATGCATGCAGATTCCAGCTCTCCTATGCGCTATAGAAAGATGGATCGTCATTACTACTATGATTTTGATCATTCGGGAGGCTCACGAGGTCGTGGATTTAGGGGTGGGAGGGGTCCTGGTAGATTTCGAGATTCTTCACCTTCATATGGCCATGGAATAGGAAGTGGCGGAGGTAGATCATCAGGGAGAGGTTTTGATGGGCCTGGATATGGTCCTGGGCCGTTCAGAGGTGAAAGCGCTATCAGAAATAATCCAAATGTGTCTCCCAGAGAAGGAGATTGGATTTGTCCAGAGCCCTCGTAAGTCCCTGGCTTAATCTGATGGTTCCTTACTGCCACAATTTTTTTTTTTATAATTACTGCCACAAAATTTTTATTATTACTTCTTGAGTTAATTGTTATTCTTGCTATCATCATCATTATTGTCATCAACTTTTTAAGAGGGGATCTGGAGGTTTAACGGTTAGCTCTACCCCAATGACCATCTTTTAATCATAATTGATTAAAAAATAATTTGATCACAGTGAATTTTGAAACTTGCTGCCAAGTTTTCTCCCTGTCCATGTCAATGAATAGGCAAATCCAGATCATCCATTTGCATGTGTTATTTTGGATTTGCCATTATATGGTATCATTCCAGGTCAGCCCCATACCTACTGTGTTTTACAGTTACTGGATTCAAGGAATAGCTCGAGTTTTCTTTGATTGGAAACTTTTATTAGACAGGCAAGAATGAGAAATAGGGGAACGTGGCAAAACTGGTTGTCACATTTGTTTGCCTTCACTTTGCTGGAGACATGTATAACAGCATTCGTGCCTATTCTATATGGGTCCAGATCTCCTGCCCACGTTAATCGCAGCCACACATAGAGAACATCATCTCATCCTCTGCATAGTATTATGCAAGGGGAGATGTTCCCAATTCAGGGGGGGGGGGTAGTGTATTGTGGGCAGACGTTGGCAGGAGATCCGGAGTCATTTTGGTTTGGTGATTTACATGTTATTTATTCAGTAAGAACGTTTCCATTGTTCAGTAATATTTGGTATGGTGATTCCTCTTTTTATCTGGTTTATTGGCACCATGCTTCAGATGCGGAAACCTGAACTTTGCACGACGGGAATATTGTAACAACTGCAACAGGCTTCGTTTTGGACCAGGTGATAGTCCTCGAAGGAGCTATCCAGGCCCACCGCCACTGAATGCTCCTCTACCACGCTTTTCTGGTCCACCAATGGATCGCTCTCCTGGAAGAGGCATGAGTGGCTATAGGTCTCCACCTCGCAGCTGGGGGAGAGATGGCCCTCGGATGTTTGGAGCCGGCCCACCCTACGCCGAGCATGAAGGGAGGTTTCCAGATCGCAGCATGTTGAGAGAGAGACCGTATTATCGCGAAGAGGAAGACTACAGGAGAATAAACAGGTTTGATAGGCCAGTGCCTCCTGACTGGCTTGATGACAGAGACCGTGGGAGGGACTCCTTTCATAACAGGGGAGGATACGGTGAGAGGAATGAGCGGCGCCCACCATCTCCGCCACTGCCACCGCCCGCAGCTCCTTATCATGGCCGGTGGAGAAGTGATTTGAGGGACAGAAGCAGATCCCCGATGAGGGGTCCCCAACCGCCCAAGGATTATCGCCGAGATGGTTACGTGCATAGGGGGCAAGATGATCGGTGCAGTACGTTGAGAGAGCGGCTGGGTGATGCATACTAGTTCAGCACAGCAATCAAGCGGATGACTCTAGATTGGAAGGTGAGGAATAGTTTTGATCAACAATCACTCAGTCTATCTTCAGTCAGTGCCCTGTAGTCTTCACAGCCTCTCTGCTTTTTGAGTGGAACATGATTCTTCTTTAATTCAATGGTTGAGGATTAACTGCAATACTGCATCTGTCGACTGGAATCCTCTGTTTTCCCTCTCTCCTATACACGTTAGTGTTCTCCTATCAAGGATCAACTATTACCAGCGCCAATTTAACGCCACCTTAACCGGACTGTACACAATGTGGTTTGGATTTTGGACTCTATGGATGGTGCTACAGCAAACAGTATCAGCTTATCCAAATTCATACTTGAAATCCAATCTGGTTTACTGGTTAAGAGTGATCCGGAGTTGATCCATTTATAACTGGATTGAATATGGGTTGTCTTGATCCGATTTAACCCAACTGGTATAATTAAATGGGTTCGACTATGATAGCAGAAAAATAAATGTATAACCACCAACCGGTATCACAAATCCTTCACGGGCTGTGCCAGCTCGATACAACCAACATTACACCTCTAAACAGGGGTGTTCATCAAAAACGAAAAATTGAAAATCGAGTCTGGATCTGCTCACAGCCCCATCCTGTGCTTTGTGTAAGGATGGGCTGTGAGGTGCGCTCTGTAAGGAGCAGATAAGGTATCGATTTGGTTTTGGTTAACCAAACTGAAAAGTGAGTGGTTAATGGGGTTAATCGGATTGATCATATATATAATGTATATTATAAATTCAAAAGAAAAAACTGAAAAATCAAAGAACTGAACCAATCAATTAATCAAATGGTTAATCGATTGGTTTCAATTGATCGGGCTCGTGTTAGGCCCCCACCCCAACCTTCATGAGCCGTGCCAATTTAACACAAACCATGTTACCTCTAAATAGGGTTGTTTATCAAAAACCATAACCACCAAACTGACTGATATATATATATTACCCATTATAAATATTTATGCATTATATATATTTATAATATGTTAGTATGCTACATATATTTATATTAGAAATATATTATATTTTCTAGTATTTATATTATATAATTATGTATTTATTTATAATATATATTATAAATTCAAAAAACTGAAAAATTAAATAACCAAACCAATCAATCAATTAACTGATTGGTTTCAGTTTTCAGCTTTTTAAAAACCAAAAGATCATATTGATTTGAAAAAAAAGGCTCATAATTTGGTTAGCCCCCTACAAATGAACCTAAGCCCATAGAGACGTGGTGTTCACACCTAGGCCCTGTTCACTTTTCAGTAAGTTACTTACCCAGGTAAATGCAATTACCTAGGTAAGTTTTCTTGGGAAATACTTACCCAGATAAGTGCATACCCATGTTCTTTTATTTTTCAAGTAAATCAGGCAACGACCACTTTAACCATAAAAGTCCATTATTAAAAGGGTCATTCTTGTCTCATTCAAGTGCTGGCAACCAAGGTTCAAAGTATTGATACGTATTGGTCTGTATTGGCTGATACGTATCATTCCAGGACCCCTCCAATAGGGGGTGTATCGGGGGTCTGACTAGTTCAGGGGATGGAGGAGCCCTAAACCGGTTTCAGAAAAAAATATAAAAAATAAAAAACAATATCGATTCGCCTGATACGTCCATACCGACATATCGAGCGTATCGATATTTTGAACCTTGCTAGCAACTTTCTCCCTATGTGGGAAAGTTATTTACCCACCTAGGAGATGGGTATCACTTACCCGGAAAATTAAACTTTCCCTGATCCCCACATAAATCTGAAAAAAAAAAGAATATGGGCTTCTCGGTCAATGGGAACCAAAATCCCATTGACCAACTTTCCCCCTCTCAAAATCCAAAAAAAGAACGCCCCCTAATGGCTAATGCTACGGTTCAAGTTTGACATCCTATTACAAACTATTGGTTGAGTGTCACATGCATTTATACGTACAAAGTGGTTGATGTTTGGTAATCATGGTGTTATGTGTCCATTGCATTTTGCATTGGAAATTGAGAAAAACATTATTGGCACGAAGTGCAATACAACAATCATTTATTTCATTTTATTGCATATAGGTGCCACTAGGGCAAGGTTCAAAGTATACAGGGCGATATGTCGGTAGGGCGTATCATATCGGCCTATATCGGTATTTTTTTTGTTTTTATTTTTTTTTCAAATTTGGTTCAGAAATGTCAGTCTACCCCCTGAACCACTTGTTGATCCAAAACACCCCCTGTAGGAGCATATCAGGAAGGCTCCGATACAATATGTATTGGCTGATACAAGTAGATATGTATCAATACTTTGAACCTTGCACTAGAGGAAACTAAAACACGAAGGGAAACATCAAAAGTGAATTTAAAGGAAACACACAAATGATGTTTCCTTTAAGGGGGCGTTCTTTTTTCGGATTTTGAGAGGAGGGAAGTTGGTCAATGGGATTTTGGTTTCCATTGACCAAGAATCCCATGTTCTTTTTTCCAGATTTATGTGGGGAGTAGGGAAAGTTTATTTTCTTGGGTATCCATCTCTTAAGTGGGTAAATAACTTTCTCAACTATGGGAAAAGTTGCCAACACTTGAATGGGACAAAAATGCTCTTTTTAATAATGGATTTTTATGGCTAAAATGGTTATTGCCTTATTTACATGACAAATAAAAAAACATGGGTAAATGCACTTACTCAAGTAAAGTAACTACATTTACCCAGATGAATAACTTACCGAAAAGCGAATGAGACCTAAAATTAAATTTTACACAACTTGAAATAAAAGAAAATAAAAAATACAGAACATTTTGCACCCGAGCCTACTAAACAGACAAACAAGATTTAGACGTAATATCCTATATGGTGCTGATGTGCCATTGAAACGAAGTCACAGCAGACACACAAGAAACACCACGACACCAAATACCCACTAGAAGAGATAATATATTGAAGAGGAAAATAAATGGACCAAAGCAATGATGGTATGGATGTGAGGAAAATAAAAGGACCAATAGAGACAAATTTATAATGTTTATCTATGCTAGTTTGCAAATGATTTATCATTGATGTGCATATGTATAATATATTATTTAAAATTGGACCCATTGTGCATTTTACTTTATAATAGTGGATTCATGTGTACTTTTGCTTATGTGTGTATATAATAGTTGGTTTATCTATAATAACTTTATGTAAAAGATATTTTGTAGGGTTACAATTTGCATCTTTTTGTCCATATTCAAATTTAAAAACCAGTTTGACAAGTTGATTCCAAATTGGTCTATTATATCTCATCATTATCATCATCATCGTCTTGTCCCAATTATATGGGATCAGCTATACGAATACTTTATCACCATTTTGTTCTGTTCAATGCCATTTTTATTGTTAAGTTATAAGCTCTTAAGTCATTTCTTACTATTTTCAGTTGTTTTGGCTTGTCCCTACCTCTTTCGATCTGCCTTTTATACTCTTAGGTTCCTTCAAGTGAGTTTAATTTGGATCATGCCCTTATTTGTTTTTTCACTTGTGTCAATATTTACACTTTTACCACACTCATTTTTGGCAAAATCTATGGTACACCTACCACACCGTGCAACAAAAAGTTTTGATTAGTTGGATGTGATGGTAAGTAAACCTTGTTGGTCATAAAAATATACTTTGGCTTAGCTCATTTTTCAATAAGCTAATTACCCATGCTCTTATATTTTCCATATAAATAAGACAATGACCATTTTAGCCATAAAAATGAACAATTTTGTTTTATTCAAGTGCTGGCAACTTTCCCCTCGAGTGGGAAGGTTACTTACCTGGTTTAGAGATGGGTATTACCTTAACAATTTATACCCAAGGAAAATGAATTTTCCATAAACCCCACATAAATCTAAAAAAACATGAGTATCTTGGTTAATGGGAACCCAAATCCCATTGACCAACTCTCCCCTCTCAAAATCCGAAAAATGAATGGGTTCTTTGTGAGAAGTGAACTAATGAAAAGTAAATATATTTTAACTTGGTTGGTTGAGATACAAATTTAACATGCAACCAATATTACCGAGTACATCATAGTTGAATTCCTCATTTTTTTTAACATATTTCCTTAAACTACCCATACTGTTTAACTAATTGACTAACTCCACCCTTACTATTTAGCTATTATCTTAAAGTACCCTTAAGTTTTATGACAATTGTCTAAAACCTTCGTTGACGTTAATTTTTCGTTGCACTTTGTTCATATGTGACATCATGTGAGTGGTAATTATTTTACAATTCCTAAAATGCCCTTGGTGTTCATCACCGTTTGTTGAAAGTTGTAGCAGTGGTGGTGGTTTTGGTAGATCCAAAAACAGAGTTGAAGGGAGCGGAGGAAACCCTAGTCCCTTTTCCCTTTGTTTTTCATCGTCATAAACCCTGTTGCATTGGCGACGGTGATTTCGTCATCAGTAACGCTAAAGAAATCAAGGATGAAGCCATGAGTCCGAACTTCTCTACAACTATCACTCTCCCCTGTCCCCTTCTCTCTCTCTCTCTCTTGCCCTTGTTTCATCACCGCTACTGCAACATCTGAGCTCTCTCCCTCCCTCTATTTCTCTCTCCCCTCATTCCCTTCTTTCTTTCTCTCTCTTGCCCCTGTTTCATCACGTTGCAATAGCGGCGGACCCCTCCACATCCAACCTCTCTCCCTCTCGAGTAAAACAGGGCTCCGCTTGGCTTCGATAGTTGCAGCAACTAGAGCGACTCTCTCTCTCTCTATCTCATAAATCTTCATCGCCTTCGACTCTATTTGCACCTCTCTCTCTCTCTTTTTCTCCTCCCCCCCCCCGAAATCTTCATTGTCTTTGGCTTTGTTAAAAATCAGATTTCTTAGATCAAAATGACATTGGCTTTGGAATGATTCTCACATTGAAAAAGATTTGGGCACCGCTATCTCTCTCAGAAGTCTTCATCGTCTTCGGCTCTGGAGTAATCTCAACGAAACACAAGAACAGAGAAAGGGAAAAGAGGAGGCAGGCAGGAATGTCTCGGGTTTGTGACAATCGTCGAGCAACCCCAATAAGTGCCTCGCTCTCTCTCTCTCTTTCTCACTCACTCACTCACCAAGCAACCCTAGTAAGCCATTCTCCGCCAATAAGATAATGAATAGAGATGAAGATGGAAGAAGGAGAAGAAGAGGACCCTATTTTATCACCGCCTTAAACTTGGCAGCAACTCCTTCTCCCAGTTTTTGTTTTTTCCTTCTTCCTCTCCCTCGATCCAATATATGGTTGACAAGCTCTAATGCGAAACACACTCTGAGAAGTTTCGGTGGCGTTCTAGTAGTCTTGCATGTCTAGGGATAGGGGAACACCATTGTATTCACCGCCTTCCGGCGGTGAAACACACAGTTCGATAGAAAAAAGGATCATACATCATCATCGGAGCTGCTAATTAGTTGGGTTTTATTTTGAAACTTGAGGAATAGTGAATGGCAAATTCGATATTTCATTTATTTCCATAAGCACTTAATGGTGATGTCAATTTTTAGAAACAGTAAATGTACTTAAAAATAATATGTAAACAGTAAGAATATAGTTAATAAATTTCGCAAATAGGGATAGTTTAAGGAAATTGCCCTATCGTGTATTACTTGTCTTGATTGTCGAATTTTTTTTTCCACGTTGGCTCTACATACTTTTAGATGATTTTATTAATGACACTCTATATCAAAACCTATGAATAAGATTCAATTTAAATTAAGATATTAACAAATCAATTTTGGCCGGGTATATTGAATTCACTAGATTTATTTACAAACATAATATTGTAAGAGAAAATAAGAGAATTGACACGTTTATTTTCAAAACATTAAGGCTAATGTTTTTTCAGTTATAATAGAATGTCTATCTCCTTATCCTCGATTAATAATTAGATTATGTACCAACTTTTGTGTCTATAGGGCTATTTGATAGCAACTAAAATATCTGAACTGAATGACTTATTGCATTGTTTTGAATGGATAAAATAATTAAACAATAACATATTTTAGGCATGGATTAAATCATCAATGTAATATGCTTGAATTGGATGTATAATATCAGTATTGATGCATCCATAAATATGTATAGATACATTAATACAAAGTTTTTTTTTTTTAATATTTAAAACTTTAAAATAGTAGGTGGACACTCTAATAACCACAAAATTAAAGATATGCAGAAACAAGAAGATATCAGTCATATCCTTAATCCTTGATTTTAGGATCTCACTAAAAAACAATGAAATAAGTCATTCAATTGATCAATCAGCCATTCAGCTGTTATGAAACAGTCCCTCATCCAATAATCCTCCTCTATATCCTTAGTACATAAAATTTTATGTACCATATCAATAGCAATCTGTCATTATACTTTTCATTTTAAAATTAAAAAGAATTTTTTTTTCTTCTAATGGTATGTATGATCGATTTCTATTGGTTTGGTACCGAAAATTTTGTATACCAAACCTAAAAAGGATGTGATTTAATATTAGTGGGGATCAAGTGCTCAAAGTCCAGACAAGGCCCGACCAATTGAAAGACAGGGAATCTATTAAATCCCACGTGCCAAAAACAAAAATCCATGTCGCACGTGTCAAAATTAAAGAGGAGCCCATACAAAATCAAGCTCAAATGCTCAATGGCCTGGCATTTTTAGCGCCAATTTTTTATTTTACTTTTATTCCATAAATAAATCGAAATCATTAGAAACATACAAAATTCCCTAAGGCGTCAGCACTTTCCACTCGCACCACTTTCCTTGAAAATTCATATCTCCCTCAATCCAACGTTTAACAATCCACCATACCTTCGCCTATGAATTCCGACCGTCGGATCAATCCCCTTAGCATCTACCGTCAGATGGGATTACCATCCTCATCTAGCCGTCCAATATTTGCAAATTGAATTTCAAAAGATCGAGAGGGAGGAGAGAGGCTAATAGCTTCTCTACTCCCTTCTCTCCCTTCCCTTCCCTTCTATTTTATTCTCTCGAACAAATATTTTTGAGCAAAAATCCTATCTTTTGTGTATCTCCTTGCACTTTGTCTCCGCACGTACTGATCGAGTTCGCCGGAATCCAGTCACTCTGCAACAATTTCCGGTCGACATTTGCCGGATTCCGGGGTTTAATTTGCAGCTGCGTAACGACACGGTTTCTCCTTCCTTTAACTATTTATCGGCGATCTTCGAGAGGCTTCTCGATCCGGAAGTTATCTAATTTAAGATGATTTTTGAGGGATTTTGTGGTGGTTGAAGAAAATTTATTTGATTGAATTCGTCGTCGTCCGTTTCAAATTTTATTTAATTTTTCAATTTTAAAGCCGATGGAGCAAGGTAACGGCGGGGATTTCCCGCTGAAAAAGCTCCAGTCGATTACGACAACGGGGACGGTTGTAGCGACCTCAGATTTCCCGCCGAAAAAGCTCGCGAGGCAGCTGGATTTCACGGCTTTCTGCAGTGCATCGGCGGGCGTCGTCTTGCCGGAACACCCGCAGCCGCAGCCACAATCACAGTTACATCCACACCCACAGGCACAGCCACAACCACAGTTACATCCACATCCACAGCCGCAGTCACAACCACAATCACAGTCACTGTCACAGCAACAGTCACAGTCGCCTCTGCAGCCTCAACCTTCGCTTCCCCGTCCTTCGTTTTCAGTTGTGTAAGTTTTCTGCAACCGTTATTTAGGATGTTACTTTTTTGTTTAATTGATTTTAGGAGGAAGGTGAAAGCTTTCAGTTTTTCAGGCAATTTAACCAGCATTCTTTTTTCACCCGCTGCATCACTAATGTTCTTTTGCTCTTGTTGCTTTTCTTTTCTTTTTCATACTTTTTCCTTTTCAGTTTTCTACTTATTTTATTTTAGATTTTCTGCAAAGCCATTATTTTTGTTCTATTTTTTTTTTCTCAAATTTCTACTCTCTCTCTCTCTCTCTCTCTCTCTCTCTCTCTCTCTATATATATATATATATATATAAAGTTGTTCAATTATCAGAATATATTTGATATGATACTTTTGTTACACTATCATCAGAAAATTTTATTGTTTTTAAAGCTAAAAATGGTAAGCTTGTCGTCATATGTTGTATTTGAGTTTGGAAGCTAGTTTGTGTTAATTGAGAGATCAGATGATGAAGAAACAGTGTAACTTGGTCTGCCTATATTTGATCGTTTTTTAACAAACAACAGAAAAGCAACTGCTCTGAGATTGTTGACAGACAAATTATGTTTGAACTTACACTTGATTTCTTTCTTAAAAACAGGAAATAATATGCCTTCAGCTTGAAGTTATACCATACAAAATGATTATTTTTCTTGGTAGTAGTTTTTTTTTTGATCAATAATTTTTCTTGGTAGTAGTTGTCGGTAGTAGTCTAGTAGATCTTCAATATCCGACTTTAGCTGCATTTTATGACTCAGATTGTGAAATTATTATTCTTGTAGGTTAGCTATGGAGTTATGATCCATAAATGTAAGCAATATCTTTAGTGAATAATGATATAAAAAAGCAGTAAAGATGGGATGCTTCGTATCTTGAATTGTTCTCTTCAAAGAAATCATAGATGTATATAACCATTTTGTTTTCTTTCTTTCTAAATCCAAGGAACCTACCATTTAAATTTAGAAGATATCCAATGGTTAATGATTTAGTTTCTTTCTTTCTAAATCTAGAGAACCTAGTACTTAAGTTTAGAAGATATCAGGCGGTTTTTGAGTTCTTTCAATAATCTTGTCCCTAAATTGTGTCTGTGGGCTGTATAATGTATTCGACCAATAAATTCTTGGGCAACCTTGAATTTGTTTCTTTCTTCCTAAATCTAGAGAACCTAGTACTTAAATTTAGAAGATATTGGGTGGTTTTTGAGTTATTTTGATAATCTTGTTCCCTAAATTATGTCTATGGGTTGTGTAATTTTCCTACCAATAAATTCTTGGGAAACTTTGAAATGCATAGAATCTCCCAGGCATATCCTGGATTTATGGCAGGTATGCTTGGCAAAGATAGGCATTTTTTTCCCTGGTGGTACCCATCTGGTATCTCAAAGAATCTGACAACTCACAAACTACAGAGGCATTCTATGTGGCACACAGTCTTTGAGGGGATTCATCCTTGAGACTTCCCTTGTTGGCTGCAGTTGCCTGCCAATTCATCTAACATGAGGGTGGTAGAAAGGATGGTGATGATGATAGTTATATTTATATTTATTATTATTATTATTATTATTATTATTTTTATTATTATTGTTATTGCATTAAATGGAATTGGACTTGTGACAGTATATACTTTCACAATGAAAAATGAAGATTTACAAGTAAAACAGTATGAAGAGAAAGAAATCTGTTGAAGAAAATACCAAAAGTATGTACATCAGATATTTTCACTATTCTGCCATGATTAGTTCTTATATCTTGAATTTTTTAAGCATAAAAGCCCAATCTAATATGATTGAAAATATGCCACTAGACCCACTACAAATCCTTCCTTATGGTTGAACTGCACATTTTTACCCGTTACAATGAGTTTATTTTTTAAAATTTGGAGACCATGTGGCACAGATATGGCAAGGATAGAGCATGGACAAGGTGTGGAACATAGAAATGCTGAAAATTGAAGTGTTCAACATAGACATGACACTCATTTAAAGTGTTTATGCAACACAGTTCGAAGGCAATATATACTATCAATTTTATTAAAAAAGAATGCATATCACCATGCAAATGTTTTCTTTTTCTTAGAGCATTCAGGTACTCATGCTCTTTTCAGGAATTTCTTTTTCTGGTAACCAAGTCAGGATAAGGTCCAAAGTCATTGTGTTTTCTGTTAAGTCAAGCCAAGCTAATTTCTACATCCGTTGGGTGGATCAACCTTGTGTAGTATGAAAGGACCCATTCACACAAATGAAAAAGTTAGAACTAAGATGTAGAAGGTAGACAAAAAATGAGTTCATCAATTCTATCCACAACAACAATACAAGTCAGTCTATTGATAACATTTCAAAATTAGAAAATGACAAGGACACTTGTACATGGAAAGTTACAACAACCAATGAAGCTTTTGATATAGGCAGAGTACCCATTTGAAGAGGTATAAGAAACATACCCTAAGAAGCCCCCCCTCCCCCAATACACACACACACACACAAAACATGCCCCCCCTAGTATTGTACGTATTGAGGATATGCATAGAACCAAAGGTGAAATTCAATAAATGTAATGCACACACACAGATGTATATCACATTCTTCGCTTCCTTTGTTCTTTTGCTATGCTTTCAACTCTTTGATAATGTTGGCTAAGTTATTCTTGGAAAAGCTCAAAGTCTACCTACATGAGGTTTCTGTATGTATTATTATACTCAACAGAGGAATTTAAAAAAATTCTTTTGGTCTGTAACACTAACACTTCTATTTATTCAGAAAGCCAGAATCCCCAAGATCACGCCCACGGCCTGGCATAGAAGTAAAAGACAGCACTCCAAAGAAACAAAAACAATGCAATTGCAAAAATTCACGGTGTTTAAAATTGTAAGTACTTTTCTTATTTGTATGCATTTCTATTAAAGTGCTGTAGGAAAGGTTTGGATTTCTTCCTAATTTATTGTTGGTTGCTATTGTTCATAACCTCAAAATTTCGCCTCAGAAAACAATCGTAGTATATACCATATGCTTTTTAGTTATTACTGTTTTTTTTTTTTGTTATGAATGTTGTTGCACAGTCTGAATTAAGACTTTTTTTTTTGCCTTTTCATTTTCTTTACATTAATGGGGTTAGGGGTAATAAAATGTTCTGATTGTCTGTGTGACTAATGATGAAATTTAGAACTCTGGGGTTCCATGAAAGGTATAAAGCTACCTATTAGCTTCCAAGTTGGCTGCATTTGTAGTAGCCTATGTCATTTTGTGAAATATAAATACTAGAACTTAGGAGACCTAAGGCTCTATTGAAGGTATTCATCAAAGGAGACTGCATATTCTTTTATACAGACATTTGGCTATCTCTTTATCCACCTTTCTCCCTCTCCCTTTCCCCTTACCTCTCTTGCTCTAAAGGAGTTAATAAATATGTTGAACTGTAAACTAGTTGAAATAAGTGACTACTATATGCACACATGGATACCAGAACTGCTGGTTTTTACTGAAAGAAATACATAATTTTTTTTTTTGATAAGCATCAAAGATTAATTCATTAAAGAGCAGAAGCCACACTTCTAAAAACCACAGCAGGTGACCTAAAATACAACAGCCTTTAAATCAAACCAAAAGAGACCAAAAAGGTCAAAAACAGCAAAAGAAATTCCTCTTACAGATTACAGCCCTGCCCTGGGCAACCCCATCCAAACTATCTTTACCTACCCCCAATCTTGCCAGGGAGTCAGCTAGCTTATTTGCACTCCTGGGAATCTGAATAAATGAGATTTTCAAGACTTCAAGTTGGTACCCAAGGATTGAGCCAATCTCACCAACTGTCTAAATTGTCAATGTATCAAATCCTGAGATTGCATCCAAAAAATAACTGTTTGACAGTCCCCTTAAACCACTATATTCATTAACCCTTGCTCAATTATCAGTTTAAGGCCTTGGATTAAAGCCAACATCTCTGACCTTAGAGAATTTCCAAAACCAGCTGGCCCTGAAAAGCTAAGAATTACATTGCCAGCTGAATCCCTAACCACTCTTCCCACTCCTGAACTCCCGGTATTTCCTAGTCAACACCCATTTACAATTTCCAACACCTGATGGAGTCCATTCTACATCTCCTTGTGGTAGGGGTGATCATAAAAAAACCGAAAACCGAACCGAACTGATGAGACTGAACCAAAAATTCCAGTTAACCGATTGGTTGGTTCGGTTTTAGTTAACCAATATAAAACACCGGTGGTTAACTGAATTGACCGGTGTACATATATTTATATATTATATGTATATTATACATATTTTTCATATCTATTTTATATTATCTATATATTATTTATAATATAATATTTTATATGTATTTCTTGTTTTTTATTATTTATTTTTATATGATATGTATTATAAATATAAAAACCGAAAAATTGACGATTAATTGAAGCGGTCAATTGGTTAACCAATCGGCTTTGGTTTTGGTTACCGATTTTCCAAAAATTGGTAATACTGGTTTGGTTTGAAAAATAGGCCCACAACTCGGTTAACCGAACCGTGAGCACCCCTACTTTGTGGTACCTTGTTATTAAAACTGGGAATTATGTTCCACTCTCTTAATAAATCATTCAGGCTTACTTCATTGAACTCTTTGTTGACTTGAGCCTAGTGTGCAACCCTTATAGTTGTAAGTTCGATAACTCCTCCACATCTTTGTAATTTTGTTCATATATTTTGCTGTTTCTTTCATTCCATAAACCCCACAACACTGCCCCTCTCACACACTGCCATAAAATCTTCTGTCTTGGTGTAGAAGGTCTCATAACTTGTGGTTTAAACATATCCACCACCTTTGCAGGAGCTGTCCACTCTTTGCCCACCAAGGAGACAAAAAGATGCCAAATCTGGAATGCATAAGAGCACTGTAAAAGAAGATGGTTGGCGCTTTCCCTGTCTTTCCAGCAAAGAACACAAACATGGGGTGAAAGAGCCCAATTTTTACACTTCCTTCGGAGTCTGTTAGGTGTTTAAGAATTGCTTTGCTACCTCCCAACAAAACAACTTTACTTTGGAGGGGGGGATTGGGCTGGACCATAATTCTTTGGCTGGGGAGGAATGGCTGCCAACTTGGTTAACAAGGACTTTAGAAAAAGATGAACAAGTATAACTACCTTTTATGGATGGGGTCCAAACCCTCTCATCAATACTTGAATGATTAAGAACAATGTCTTGAAGTAATTTGAACAAGGGAATCAATAGGAATGGCAATGGGGCGAGGATCATATTCCCCGTCCTTGCCCCCGATTCTGAAATTAACCCACATCCCTGTCTCCGATCCCCGTCGGGGATAAAATTTGTCCTCCATTCCCGATCCCCGACGAGGATGGGTTCCCCGCGGGGACCTAAATCCCTGAAATTTTTTAGATAATAGATTTTTTTTGAAAAATAAATAAAAAATTTAAATAAAAACAACTGACCAATAAATTGGAATCATAAACGTTGTAGCAAATAAGGTGTTATTTATCAAAATTCATGGGTCAAAACTCTTTCCATACCATATCTTTTCTGCATCATAGATTTTCCCATATATATATATAAATAATATACATTTAATATAAATAACATATATATATATATAATCGGGGTCGGGGCGGGGACCTCAATCCCCATCCCCGGCCCCGACCCCGATCGGGGATTCCTATTAATCCCCGTCCCCGTCCCCACCCCATCGAAACAATTCCCATCCCCAACCCCATCGGGTCCCCATTGGGGATGGGGAAAATTGCCATCCCTGGGGATCAATTCATTAGTTTCACGGTCTCTTAAATTCCTCCTTAAATCCAAGTCCCACACCATCCTAGATTTAGTCAAGGAATAACAATTAGCAATAGTTTTGTTTTTGAATTTTGACATCCTGTAAATTCTTGGGAACAATTGGCAAAGTGTTGCATCCCCCCACTAGATGTCCTCCCAAAATTTTACCCTTGTGTTGAAATAACATCGTATCTTATGTGTTGTGAAAAAGTAAAGACAAAATTGCTTTCCAAGGGCTTCTGGCATTGGGTCTTTTTCCTGCTCTGGAGTCTCATCCATTAGGGTCTAAGCCATAGATGCTTACTATGACCAAATGCCACAAAGCTTCCCTTTCTTTAGGAAATCTCCACAACTACTTACTTAACAATGCCCTATTTTTCGCCCAAAACTTCCTATCCCCCAACCCCAACTTCTTTAGGCTTATAGACCTCCGACCAATTCACCAAATGATTGACCTTATTATTCCTTGCCTTCCAAAGAAAGTCCCTGATTAACTTATCCAATTTTTGCACTACTTTCACTGGGGCTTGATAAACTAACAAAAAGAAAATTGGGATACTCGACAGAGTTGACTTAATCATAGTTACCCTCCCCCTTTAGATATGTAATTTTTCTTCCAAATGGCTAGCCTTTTACCAAATTTCTCAATCACCCCATCCCAAAACCCTGGCAACTTTGGACTTCCCCCCAAAGGTAGTCGTGAATATTTTAACGAACCACTCCCTAATACCACAACCCAAGATTCCGGCACACTCCTCCACTACAAAACTCTCCAAATTGGTCCCCGCCAAATTACACTTTGAGAGGTTAATCTTCAGCCCAGTTACCTCTTCCACTAGCCTCAAAATACACCTCAAAGCTCTCACGTCCTAAATACCCCTAAATTCCCCAAGAATCAAAGTATCATCTGAAAATTGCAGATGTGACACCACCTGTCCTTGTCTACCCACTCTAGAACCTCGAAAAAACCCTCTCTCATCAGCCCTTTTCAGCAACTTTCTCATAATCTCAGCCACCAAGAGAAACAACATAGGGGACAAAGGATCACCTTGTCAAATTCTCCTGGTTGCCTAAAAAAAAAATTTTGTGGAGCACCATTGATGAGAATTGAGAAATGAATGTTTTTTTAAACACCGCATCATCCACTTTATCCATCTATTCCCAAATCCCATTTATTCCATCATCCATTGCAAAACCCCTCAATCCACATGGTCATAGGCTTTCTCCAAACCCAAATTGAAAATAAAACGTTTTTTCTTTCCCTTCCTAAAATCCTCCACAGCCTCATTCGCTATAAGAATTTGATCAATAATTTGTCTTTTTTTGACAAAGCCCCTTGTTCACTTGAAATCACATAATGCAACACCTCTTTCATTCTGATTGATAGAACTTTTGCCAAGATTTTGTACAAGCTTGTTGTGAGACTTATGGGCCTAAAATCTTTGGTGGAGACAGCCCCTGCACATTTAGGAATTAAGGAAACAAATGTGGAATTCATTTCTCTCCCCACTTTCCTTCTTTCATAAAAATCATTAAACACTTTCTACAAGTCCTCCTTTATAGTCTCCCAGCATTCTTGGCAAAACGATAGCGTAAATCCATCAGGACCAGGTGCTTTATCTCCACTCATACTCATCTCCGCTCTCTTTATTTCTCCCAATGAAAAAGGTTCTTCTAATCTTGCAGCCACCTCCCTTGGAATTCTATCCCAAAACAGACCCACTAACCTAGGCCTTGAGAGTCGAGAGGACAGTTGGGCAAAAAGGTTCTAAAATGGGAAGTTAACACTGATTCAATTTCTGCTTTATTCCGTATTTCTTCTCCATTCTCTACTAGTTTTGATATTTTATTCTTCTTTTTCTCTCATTTGCTAACAAATGAAAGTACTTACTATTTCCATTCCCTTCCCTCAACCACTTACATCTCGACTTTTGTTGCCAACAGATTTCCTCCCTCTTTAAAATCAATTCTAGCTCAGCCCTTAACTCCATTCTTTTCCTTCTCTTTTCCTCTTGCAATCCCCTACTCTCCTCCCTTTCTATCCTATCCACCTCCTCCACCTGTCTTAAAATCTCCATTTTTTTACTCAACTCTTCTAAAATCCTGAACATTCCAAAACTTCAACTTATTTTTGATCATCCCCAACCTTTGCATAAACTAAAACCCAACACTCCCTTCTGCTTACCCTTCTTTCCACCACAAGTCTATGTTTTCATTGAAATTTGGGTGCATTGTCCTAGTGATTTAAAAGGCGCACCTAGGCGCACAGGCAAGGCACATTTTAGGGTATGCGCCTTGTCTAGGTCCCAAGTGGAGTATTTTCAAAAGGTGTGTGCCTGTTGCGCCTTGCGCTTCAGCCCAGGCGTGTGCCTTTTGAGAATCTGTGCATTTTTCTGTTTTTTGTTTGTTTGTTTGTTTAGCAGCTGGGCTGGAGCCCTGACCAAGTCCCTTGAGGCAAACCCAAACAAGTCCATATTAGGGTCTTAAATTCTCAATCCCTATAAAAAAGGTTTTATAACCTTAAGTGTCTTTTAAAAATATCCATATTTGCTAATGTTTCTCATTCATTCATCCTAATAAAAGATATTTTTAAAGGGAACTTAAAGTTATAAAATCTTTTTTATAGGGATTAAGAATTTATGACCCTAATTTGAATTTTTGGCATTTTTTTGAATTTTTTAGATTTTTTTTTGCGCCTTGATTCAAAAAGACGAGTGCCTTGCCTTGTGCCTTGGAGGCAAAATGGCCCTTGCGCATTTTTTTGCGCCTTTTGCTTTTAAAACACTGTGTTGTCCACATATTTTCAAACCTGAATAGTATAGGACTGAAAGATAATTCATCTGACTGTAACTACAAAGGCCAAGATCTGATATTAATCTGGTCAAAGTTTTAACCTCCACCTACCTAAAATGCTCCTCTCAACTAGCATTGACTAAAAGTCTATCCGGCTTACAACACACTGGATTCTCTTGCAAATTGGACCATGTGAGTTGAGCATTCTGCAATGGTATATCTCTAAGTGAAAGATATACATAATTAACACGCAAGATTTGATTCTGTTCTCTAAGCTGCTCAATCAATTGATATTAACAGATTAATTTCAGCTGAATAAGTTATCCCTTGTCCCCAGGTGGATCCAGTTGGATAATGGCCGGTGGGATGGATGCATTCTATTTAATTCACCAATTTGATTTCTAATGAGTGATAAAAAAATCATGGAAATTTATAATTTCTTTTGCTAGAGAAATGAGCTACACAGTGTGTGTGGGGGGGGGGGGGTAGCCCTCACCCAAACCCCAAAACAACCCAAATCCTGATGAAAGTGGGGTTTGACCCCAGGTCTCCACTACAACCAGCAAGCTAGCTGGTACTTTCTGATGGAAATATACTTGTTTGGTGTTACTAACAGTGAACTACTAAATTATTAGTTTATTGGATAAAAAATTCCTGTTTTCCCTATCATGTTCATTTACTTGCAACATTGAGTTTATCTGAACATTATGAAGCGTAATGGATTGTTAAATCATGTTATTGATATGAAGCTAATTTGGCAATATATGATCAGGTACTGTGAGTGCTTTGCTTCTGGGATATATTGTGATGGGTGCAACTGTGTAAATTGTTGTAATAATGTTGAGAATGAGGTTGCTAGACAGGAGGCTGTTGAAGTTACCTTAGAGCGTAATCCAAATGCATTCCGGCCAAAGATTGCTAGCAGTCCACATGGAACACGGGATGACAGGGTATGCAGTTTGATTGCATCAAGATTTATAACAATCTATTTCTGGATTACTTGGGTTAGATGTTAACGTGCTTCCATGGTTTAAATTAATGGAATAATTATGGAATAGGGAATGCATCCTCCATGTATATTATTGATTCAGCTGGTTTGACATTTATGAGTTTAGTGGCCTCATTTTCTCTAGTTCCTTTCAGTTTTCCAGTCAATTCTTGGGTTTCCATTTGCCAGCTAATAAAATATTCTTGTTTTCTTTTTTCTATCAGATCAAGTCTCAAGTTATAGTTCCCAATTTTAACACTGACTTATTTTTCCAAGTTTGATTGGGTTCTTATAAATTATAACAGAGTCCTGCATCACCTCAAGTTATTAAATCATCTTCTATTTGTGCTAAGTGTGGGTACTATAGAAAGAATATAATTTTAAGATACACAAATTCAATTTTCTAAGTTTATATGTCATTATTGCTAGTATCCAGAAACACATTTGTTAGCAATATTTTTGCTTTCTAAGGTTGTGATGTAGGATAACCTGCTCTTGGTACCAAATTGTTGTAGGATCACTTGCTTGGTATCAATTTGATGTAGGGTGACAATGGCCCAAGGATGAGTTAGGAAGAAATTAACTAGCTAGATTAGGGTTTGGGAGGATTTTAAGACTAAAAGTAGAGATTGGTTTAGGTTTGGATGGGTCTTGGATCTTAATTGCAATACTTGTAGATTTGTCCCAAAATTGAGAAACGTTTTGATTTGAGGAAAATAGGTCTAGGGTTGGAATTTTTCAATGAAAATTTATAAGTAGGTTTAGGCTGGATAGATGAAGGGGCCAACCAAGTCTGGTAGGGTTTGTAGTATGTCTTGCACAAAAGGACAAAAATTCCACTTTCTAAAGAAGGCCCAAAAATTATAAAATCTAGGCTGTTAGGTGGATTTTTGAGGTGAAATTTATTATGATGAAAGCTTATGAAGGTCTATTGATACAACTATGAGAGCAATAGGAGATAATTTGACACAAAAGGATGAAAATGGCTCAAATAGGAAAATTAAAGAAAAACTTAGCTGGTTAGTTTCAGTCTTTTGGGAATGTTGAATGGGCATATTTGATGAAGAACTTATGGCTATTGATGGCTGTAATGGCTACTTTTAGAATTAATGTAAAGATATAGAAAGAAGAGAGAAATCCTAGAATCATCAATGAGGTGCCTAGAATCAATTGGAGCATGGAAATCACTCACCACTCTTGGCATACATTTATAGAAACTCAAATAAACTAAGTTCATCCATTCGTCAATGTAAAGATATAGAAAGAAGAGAGAAATCCTAGAATCATCAATGAGGTGCCTAGAATCAATTGGAGCATGGAAATCACTCACCACTCTTGGCATACATTTATAGAAACTCAAATAAACTAAGTTCATCCATTCGTCAATGTAAAGATATAGAAAGAAGAGAGAAATCCTAGAATCATCAATGAGGTGCCTAGAATCAATTGGAGCATGGAAATCACTCACCACTCTTGGCATACTTTTATAGAAACTCAAATAAACTAAGTTCATCCATTCGTCCATGTTTATTGCTCCTGACAAAACACATATACATGCACACTAATTAAGTCTTGTCTCTGTGATTTCAAGTTGTTAAATGATGATGTGAGATTTTACCTGTGACTTGAAAATTGAACAAAACAAAATCTAGGTGAAGAATGCAATCAAACATCTGCTATTATCTTTCAATGGTGGACAGATGAAGCAAAAGGTGTTAAAGATTTGTTTGTTTGGGGCCAGGTCAGGCTAGGCTCAGTTCCACATCCAGCCTGTTTAAAAACCTGGATAACTTTGCCTTAGTCCATTCTATTGTGATTAGGTCCATATACCCGTTCATTTGACAACCCTTCCAAAAATAATAGAATGCCAAAAGATCTGGTGCCATTCATTGTCTCTTCAAGCATGTGTGGTTAGTCTCATGGATCTTGGTTGAGGCTGATAAAATAGTGTGGTTGGGGCTGAGGTACTTCCCTTGCCATGTTTGAGTGAGGAGTAATCCCAATACAACAGCCAAAATGTTCTGCCTTAAAAACTCATAAAAAAACAACCTATTGAGAACCTAGCATAAACTGTTGAAGAACTTGGAGAAAAATTGATGCTTGAAATAAGCTCAGATGAGACAACCAATCCTGTCTAAATTTCAAATTTGAAGCTACATGCTGGGGTAATATAACATGATTCTAAATGCAAAAAGCTGAAAAGATGGGAGTATGAAAAAGATATATCTCAGATATACAAAACACAATTACCAATCTACTTGGTTGAAATGCCCATTTTAGTGAAGCTATTTATTTATGAGTTGTAAATAACTAAATGCATGCCAGAGCTTTGTTCCATGAAAACCTGTATCTTACTGCAAGAATTTCATGTTTGGTTTTAAATGGGACATGTTATTAGACTGTGCTAAGTGGATTTTTTGACTTTTCTTCCTGGAATCTGGTATGTCAAATGAAAGCTTCCCGCATTCCATCTGTTTACAACTCAGTATTGAATAATGCAAAATTTGGATAATTTTTGATGCCAAAACAAGTCTTGATAAATCAGAAGCTTGCTTTGAAAAACCATATACTTAAAAAAGTTCATATAATTTCCTTTTGCAGAAATATAATGAAACAATTAAAAACATAGATTATATAAATATGACTTCCTCTTGATTTTAATTCCAGTAAAATCAGTATATTACTGCATTTTTTTTTATCAATTTACTCAGTGCATAAGTCTCCTTGCTCCTTTGGGGGGGGGGGGTAGCAGTGTGATACCAATGCAGAGTTGCATCACAATATCACATGGATGGTTCGAATTTGAACAGAACCTAGATGTGGCTTTTAGTGTTTACTGCTAATAAACTGTAAAATTTGTAATAGGTGTATACTTCTAAAGTATTTTCAATTTACTCCCTACTGTATGCAGTTGCAGTGTGATACCATTTCAAAGTTACATCACAATATCACATGGACGGTTCGAATTTGAACAGAACCTAGATGTGGCTTTTAGTGTTTACTGCTAATAAACTGTAAAATTTGTAATCGGTGTATACTTCTAAAGTATTTTCAATTTACTCTCTATTGTATGCTGAATAGATTTTGTTCTTATTTTTAATTTTGGTTGTGGACATTTATTTGAACCACTGAAATGAATCTAGGAGGATGCGGGGGAGGTTCCAATGGTGGGAAAGCACAACAAAGGATGTCACTGCAAGAAATCAGGATGCCTCAAGAAATATTGCGAGTGCTTTCAAGCCAACATTCTGTGCTCTGAAAATTGTAAATGCATGGACTGTAAAAACTTTGAAGGCAGTGAGGAGAGACGGGCTCTCTTTCATGGAGACCATGGTAATGCCATGGCATACATCCAACAGGCAGCTAATGCTGCCATTACTGGGGCTATTGGATCCCCTCCAGCATCCAAGAAGAGAAAAAGTCAGGATCTCTTCTTCTGCACAACAGCCAAGGATCTATCTGTTCACAGGCTTGCACAGTTCCCACAGGTATTTTTGAACCAAGCATCCTTGATGAAAATATCATTTTGGTAGTCAGTTTGTGAAGAATTCTAGTTGATAGAACCACCAGAAGTCATACCTTCCCCCATTAAATAGATGCCCTTACCTTCCCTTCTGGATCCATAATAAAAATGCCATTTAAAAATGGGCTGTAAATCAAAAGACCATGCCTTATGTTTGCATAGACACCAGGCATCAGAAGGATGCCATATGCTTTGCGTTTCATTTTTTATCATCTGCCAATTATCTTAGTTTTTATGGATAATCCTCAAAACAACCTCTGCTTCTGGATTTGATTACCATATGTAGAACTTGTAATTGCATTGGTTGAGCAGAATGTTTTCTTTGTTAATCAGGGAAATCATCCAAAAGCTTCTATACCCTCTTCTTCCTTATCTTCCATCCCCGTTGCTCGCGTTGTTAATACTGCAGTTTTAGGCTCTTCAAAATCTGCATACAGGTAATTATTTTCTTGTCAGATTATCATTTTTTCTAGTTAATGGCAGCTTTTCATCTATGTCCACAACTCCACATTAATTAAGTAGCATTACTGGTCATGCTGAAGGTCTCTGCTAGCAGATATCATCCAACCACAGGATGTGAAGGAGCTTTGCACACTTTTGGTGGTGGTATCAGGAGAAGCTGCTAAGACACTTTCAGGTACATGTTGATTGAAAGAGAGTGTAAACTTTTCTTCAACTCTCAAGTTCGGAACTAAATATTAGTGTTATTGTACCTGCTAGCCCACCTATAAATATATCCATTTATCCATTCAATAGCTATGTATTGCCAGCTTAACTACTTTGTCTGGATAAAGCACTAAGCAGGAACTGTAGCATTTCTGCTTGTTGATATTAATATTTTATTGTTTTAATTGATGAATGGTTTTCATATCTTTTTCACAAATTTGACTGAATACACAAAGGCGAAGCTGATATATATCTACTTGCTCGTAGTATTTTTTCTGTTCATCTTTGATGATCTTTTCCCACAAAAAATAATTAGAATTGGGCCATTACCGAATAATGACCCTAGCTATCCATTCCAGGGTGGGGGTGGATTGCTTATGGACCTAACCTTGGAGACTCTTGCTCAAAGTGGCTGTTCTCAGATGGTCAGACCTCTTTTTTTTTATTTATTTTTAATGTTTTTGTTTTTTCGTAGAAACTGATGCTCTCAACTTGAACCCACATTTATGCACTTGTCAGTCTAAGATTTTATTATTGCAATAACGCAATGGCCTCTCCCAAAAGTAATTAAATTGCCATCAAATATATTCTTTTTAACTCTTACTTCTAATGCCAAAAAATGGACACTTTGCTTTCCCCTGTCTACAAACACATATATATTCTTTCTGAACCCTTCCTTTATTATTAAATAGGCCTGTCAATGATACCCAAAATGTAGAGATGAAGAGAGTTAACCAAGGAGGCTATTTTTTTATTTTTACCTCTTGCTGTATTTTATTTTATCTTGTACACTATTTCTTCTCTTGTACAGTAAGGACAATTTGGTCCTTTTACAGTTTAATATAAATATCTTTCTTAGGGTGTTGATCTCTCCATTGGACACACCCACAAATCTGCTGCTGTCTCTCCTTTTTCCTGGGTTTACAAACTTAGATCAGACTCTGACATGGTATCAGAGCAGGTCACGATCTGATCTTCTGAGTTTACTTCTTTGTCCTTTGAATCTTTTGGCATCTAGGGGTCTTCCTAACAATACTTGGGAACCCTTTAGTGCCCTAGAATATTCTCTCCCAAGGCTGTTTAAATTAGACCTTGACAGATATGAAATCTGGAAGTCTGTGCCACCAGATTTACTTCTTTTCTTCGATCTGCACTTGGAGACATCAGATCTGCTTGAAAATCAAGATCTAGTGTTGCTCAGAGGAGTTCTTGTGATCCTCTTCAGCCTGGTTGAAATCAGTTTGGTTTAAGAAGGGTTTTATTCTTCTCTTGGTTCAGCATACTGTGACAGTTTCCTTTTCTGGACATCTGAGTGAAAGGTGCTTTCCCATCATCATCTCTTCTTCGATTTCTGATATCAGTCTTGGAAATCAACAATTTTTTTTTTAATGCTAATGGCTTCAGAAAGAATGGATGTCCTTCTTGTTAAATTTAATGGATCGAACTATGCCTTGTGGAAGTTTAACTTCCAGTTTCATGTTGAGGCAAAGGGTCTTTGGGGCTATTTAGATGGAACTACACCTAAACCTGATGACTCAAACATTAAGGCTTTAAATCAGTGGAAAATTGATAATGCAAAGATTGCATCATGGATTCTTGGATCGGTTGAGGTTGACATTGCCATTCCTATGAGAGTTTATAAAACAACTTATGAGATGTATGAGTATCTCAAGAAGGTATATCAGTAATCAAACACCTCTAGACAGTACCAAATAGAGGTTGATATCTTCTCATACTATCAGGGAGAGAGAAAAGTCTAGGAATACTATGCAAGGTTTATTAACCTTTGGACAGAATATGAGTTAGTACACATGGGAAAGGATCCATCGGATTGTTGCGTGAAGTATATGAAAGAACACTTTGATAGAAGGAAGGTTATGCATTTCCTAATGCATCTCAGACCTGAGTTAGAAGTTGTCAGATCCAATATTCTGAGTTGAGGAACACTTCCTGATTTAGATATTATTCTTGGGGAAATTTTGAGAGCTGAAATCAGATTTGCTACACAGACCACACTTGATGGGAGGAAATACTCCAACATTGATGCTGTTTTCCTGACAACTAAATCAAAAGGGAAGAAGGATTTCTCCCGAATTCAGTAATATGAATGCAAAGAGTTTAGACATGTTGTCTCACATTGTAAGAAGAAGAATACATGCACTTATTGCAAGCAGTAGGGGCATATCATTACATAATGTCCAACTCGACTACCAAAAGGAAATGGGTCTAACCAGAAGAAAGGGTCTTATAAAGCCTACTAGACATTCGTAGAGAAATCAGATGCCTCATCTACCATTACTTCAGTGGTTTCACAGAATGATACTTTTGGTGGTATTTCTGAAGAACGGAATTGGCAGCTCTTGTCGTCGGCTATCTCTTCCGCTTTCTTAGCTATTGGCCTTTCTAGTAAGTCTTCTACCTTTTGCCCTTCATCAAACCACCTTTGGATTATAGACTCTGGTGCCTCTAATCACATGACAGGGCCCTCCATTGGTTAGTCTCCTAAACCCATCTTTCTAATAGACATATTGTCATTGCAAATGGTGAAAAACTAGATATGCTTGGTTGTGATGATTTACACTTATCTACCTCTAAGTCATCTTACTTTCATCTACCCAAGACCTTATTTGTGCTTAAATTAACCACAAATTTGATCTTTGTTGGTCAACTTGTGGAAGATGGTAACATTGTCTTGTTTTCCTCTAATAGTTGTTTGATACAGGACCAACAAACTGGGGAGGTGAAGGGGAAGGGGCATAGACTGGGTCGACTGTTTGCTCTGGAGTTTGAGAAGAAGAAAGTTGATTCAGTTTCTACTTCTTGTTTACTCTATTACATCTAGTTTTAAATCTTTTAGTTGTAATAATGACTGGAACTTGTGGCATAGATGCCTCGGTCATCCTTTTTCTAAGAAACTTGATTATTTGTTTGTTTTTGGTAGTTTACCGAGTTCTAGTGCTTCCTTTAAGAATGTTAATAAATCTTGCATTACTTGTTTGAGCAAAAGTCATATTTTACCCTTCCCTTCTCATTCTGAGCATGCAACAGTTCCTTTTTATTTAATACATAATGATGTTTGGTCGTCTCCAGTTACTTCTAGACTAGGATTCAAATATTTTGTTACTTTCATTGATGACTGCACTCGTTTCACTTGGATTTATTTTCTTTGCAAGAAATCTGAAGTTTATCATACATTCAAACTATTTCAAGCTTATGAGTTGAGAATCAATCCTCTAATATTAGGTTTAAGATCAGTGATTAACAGTACAAATCAGATCTGAATGGAAGTGCAAGAGCTGTGTATGTAGAAGAGAAGAGGTAAGAGAAGAAGTCGAATTAGTCTTCTTCGTCCTCTAACCCTAATTTTATTAAATTCTAAAACAAATTGATGATGACAAGTATACCCTTAAGTGGGCGGCCAGCTTGGCAGTTACATAAAGGAAATAAAATAAGAACAAATAACAGGCCCATCAACATAAAATAAAAGATAAAGAAGGATATCACATAAGAAGCTGTTAGGGCCCATTCGGCCCAGTCTCTTTACATTATGTTGATACCCAATTTAAAGGAAAAATGTGTCCTACGATCTGATTCAGGGGGAGAGTACTTTGATGGGGGTTTTTAGGCTTATTTGAAACAACATGGAATCCAATCCCAAAATTTCTGTCCTGGTACTCCTCAACAAAATGGAGTAGTGGAAAGAAAGAATAGACACATCCTGACTATAGTTCGGACCCGTTTGCAAGATTCTCATGTTCCTTCTTGGTTTTGGGTGGAGGCGTTCAGCACTGCTGTGTATCTAATAAATCTTCTTCCATCATCTATTCTGAATAACACTTCTCCCTTCTAGTTTCTTTTTCACAAACCTCCAAACCTATCCTTGCTCAAAGTTTTTGGTTGTGTTTGTTTTGTTCATCTTCCACCCCATGAATGCACCAAGTTGACTGCACAGGCAACTTTATGTGCCTTTGTGGGTGACTTGGAGCCTTGAAAAATATGAATTATATATAATATACTCGGTATGTTATATCTACATTAATTTATTATATATAAAAGTTGAAAAGTAGTTCACTTTTTAAAATTTTGTATTTAAAAAAAATTAAAGCAGAGTCAGATTATTTATTAGATTATCAATGTTTTTCTAGTGTCGACGGTTTTTCACTTGACGAACGTCATTCACTTCGCTGGGGGCTATTGAGATCGTATTACTGATTGTTTTGTATCAGACATTGAAAACAAATAAAAGATAGTCATTGAACCAATAATGACCAACAAAATTTACCCCTTCAGAAATAATTATCTTCATAGATATTTCTAGTTGTATGGTTGAGTGTCTTACTGTAATTGCTGAAAAAAACAAAACAAGGGGGTTTTTATAGTTCAGTCCACCTTAGAAATCTTAGCCCCACCGTACAGGTGGGATGAATCCTGACCGTGGATTGATGCCAAAGCCATGGGCAGGATGTGGTTTAT